AGTTTCATTTTGATAAATGAAAATCTCCAAAACTAGAAACAAATGAGCTGCTTTATACTTAATTCTCTCCTGGTGTGCTAATTAGGCACGACCAGCAAATTTTCATATCACTTAAAAATGCTATTCTACAGCTAACAGGCTATAGTCCAAGACGGATTCTAGCATAGAGTTTGCTGAATTCACAATGCTCCTGAGCCTGGGTGCTAATACTTTTCTGCTGAATCTTTTTAAACATTCATATTCAATTGTTTATTATTAAGAATCCTAGAACAGGAAGCAGTAATTTATGTTCTGTTCAGTTCAGGAATACAAGTTTGAGTATCCCTGATGGATGGCTGTCTAGTCTCTTTTTCAACACATCTCCTAGCTAACTAGTTCCACTTTGAAGTTTTTGTAACTTATCAAGATAGAAATAAAAGGCAAATCTATATTTTAAGGCAGGGTTTTTAAAACTGTGGCTTTGGACCACCTGGGAAGGTCATAAGCAAGTTAAGGAGGGAGGAGTTACAGCTTTTAAAATCTGATTACTCTGGTCTAGTCAAATGGGAGTAAGTTTTGACAGAACCCCTGATTTGCCTATAGCTATTTGGGGTAGCTGGTTGGGTAACTTGGGGCCAGTCACTCTCTCTAGACATAAAAAGAAGGCAATGGAAACATTGCCAAGAAAACTACATGGACTTGTCTATGTAGTTGCCAGAAGTCAAGACTGACTTGAAAGCACAAACAAAAACAAACATAAAGGCAACATTTACAGACTAGATAGCTAAAATATTCTAGCCATTTTTATATTATTACAGAGCTGCTGGAGGCATGAAATCTACATTTCAGAAAGGGCTAACCTGATACAGGGACTAAAGATTTTATGAATAAAGAGCTGAATGTTGTTTTATTCATTATCTGCTCAGTTAGTACCAAAGTCATAGAAAGTCTAATAGAACAGAGGTGGATAAGGGATAGCAATTTCATAGTAAAGACACAATGGTATATCATTCTAAATATTGTATGAGCAAAGAACATTGCCCCCCACCCCTGCACTGTGGTAGAAGGGCTCAGGTTGAACAATACATTGCAATTAAAAGCTAAAAGATAAACCATATACCCTCTTTTCACTTGACAATTTCCTTATACAAAGAGCTGTTGAGGAGAGATACCAATTTTTGTAATCACACTTCTGTACCCTCATACACTGTTATCAAAGCTTCAGAGGGATTTAAACAAGACCACCTTTGAAGATGCTATTCAATGTTTCCAAAGTTCAGTTCCCGTAAGACCAATTTGGTATAAGATTCATCCTACTCCAGAACACAGTCTTGTTTTAAACACAAAAGTCAAACAAGAGGAATTGAAATATTGAGTCACATCAAAATGGACCCTCATGGTTTACTGAGATTAGTATTTCTTTATTCTGCAGCATTTGAGTAATCTACATATGTAAAATATAGATGATATTGAGAGCTTCTACTAAACAGGTAACATTTATATATAAAAGAACTCAGTGAATTAAATGTTTTTTCTTATCAGAATTATCACCATATAGGGCTAGGAACAATTTTTCTTTGATAATTTTATACATAAGCATGCTGTTTGGTAATGTTATTACTAAGAATACATTTTAATTTTGCATGTATGACAAACTCATATTTTCTGCTAGGACATGAGATAATCTATTACAGTTCTTTTTGCAACTATGAGTCTCATGTTGTTTCAAGAACCTTTATTAGACAGACTCGAATTCCTTTTTAAAATGTATATTGTATGAACACAATTATGTCAATTCCAGCAATTGATGAAATTGACTTTTAGAGCCTCCAATAAAAAGGAAAAAGGCAGTAAGAAGACCTGTAGGCTGTAAACATATTTCGGTCTATTTTCAAACGCAAAATTTGAACTAATATGAATCACACTAGGAGGCAGTTACTACAATTAGTACAGGTAAGAATTGGAGTTACAAACAGAAGTAGTACTGAGAAAAACGTAAGCATGAACACTCCAAGAAGTTAAAAAAAAAAAAGGCCTAATAAACACTACCACCCCAAAAATGAAGTATTTATTAACAAGATGTATAAGACTGCCCAACACAAACCATGTGATTCTGGGCAGCGTACAGCATCAAAAACAAACAATAAACCAACCCTCCCAACCCATATAACATTAAACTTATAGAATATATAAATATAAAATAAAAAATGACAACCAAGCAACATAACAGAACAACTAACAGGAGACTCTCACACAATTGGCCCCTAATGCCTGGGGGAAGAGCCAGGTCTTAATAGCTTTCCAAAAGGCAAGCAGAACTGGGGCCTGTCATATCTCAGGGGGAGATCATTCCAGAGAACAGGGGCAACCACAGAAAAGGCACACTTCCTAGATCCCATAACATGACAAGATTTAAAAGAAGGAACCTGGAGCAGGCCTTGTGGGAGAGTGTGGGGTGGGCAGATGATCTTGGGAGAAGGTGGTCCTACAAGTAACCTGGTCCTATGCCATGTAGGGCTTTAAAGATGAATCTTACCCGGAAACCTAGCGGAAGCCAGTGCAGCTCACAGAGTAGGGTATTACATGGGCATAACAAGATGTGCTCATAACTAACCAGACCACTGCATTATGGACCAACTGAAACTCCAGATGGTCAGCCCCATGTAGAAAGTGTTGCAGCCCCATGTAGAAAGTGTTGCAACAGTCCAATCAGGAGGTGATTAAGACATGCATCACCATGAGCAGGGCCTCACAATCCAGGAATGGGTGCAAGTGGCTTACAAGGCACAATTCTTCAGAGGCCCCCCTGGCCACACCTGCCACCTGTTCTTCAAATCCAGGAGAACCCCCAAATTTCACACAGTCTGAACAGGGTAGTGCCACCCCATCCAGAACCAAAATTGGAAACCCTTCAACTCCAGAATCTGGGGGACCCAAAACCCATAGCTAATCAGTCTTAGCAGGGTTGAGCTGCAACCTGTTCTTCCCCATCCAGACCCTCATGGCCTCCAGACCAGGGGACAGTGATGTATAACTGGGTATCTTCCACATATTGATTCCTCACCCCAAAAGAATCAGTATAAAGATGTGTTTCTGTGAAATAGATTATTCCATGTTTCAGAGTGACTGAAGAAAAGAAAAGAAGAAATGAGGAAATGAGGAAAGACCATCAGTTCAGAATTGCTCATTGAACAAGAATCTAATTATGATCTATATTTGACAATTTATATTGACAAAGCAAATAAATGATAAGATACCAAAAACTTATACTGTAAGAAACAACATTCCGATAAAAACTTGGGTGGTTACAGGTTTGTCACAAAATGACAAATTTTGTACATTTGTCAAATGAAACAAATGTGCCTGATTTCCGCTACCTAAATTTTTCTTTCAAATAGAATTTGATTGTTAAAATGGAATGGAATGAGCAAGTTATAATATTAAAGCCAGCCAATCATATATTAAAATGCAAATTCTTTAGCTATTTCAACTTATGTATAGCATGCAGAGAAATAAAACTTCCCTAATAAACGGAAAAAGTACAGCCCATACACTGATTAAAACAAAGTTGGTTACTGGGATTTCTATAATAATTAAAATAGCACCATTGCATTAATTTTGCCAGCCTCTAAATACATTGCACTGGAATAATATAACAAATACAAAACCTAGTAGGGTACAAGGAACAAGTACTGATTTTCAACCAAGATAATCAGGGTTTAATCTTTGCTCAGCTACAAATGAAGTCAACTGACCTTCGATAAATCATTAATGTTATCACTGAAGGCTTCTGAGAAGATAAAAAAGTGAGAATCTCCCAGAAATGTGACAGATGGAATGAAGCTTGTGTGACACTATATTTCACACCCCAAAGCATTTTCCATCAAGACCCAGTTTGGTCTAGTGGTTGAGGCACCAGGCTAGAAAGCAGGAGACTGTGAGTTCTTAGGCATGAAAGCCGGTTGGGTGAGTTGGGCCAGTC